TGAATGACAGCCTCCTGGTGTATGTACAGGTTCTTCATGAGCACAATTAAGTGTTCTGGAATTCCCATTCTTCACAATGTTATCCATAATTTGTTATGATGCACACAGTGGATGCTTTTGCATAGTCAATAAAACACAAGAAAACATCTTTGGCTTTCAGCCAAGATCCATCTGCCATCAACAATGATATCCCTCATTCCTTGTCCTCTTCTGAATCTGGCTTAGATAAAAAAATGACAGCTATTAACATTGTATTTTCATCATAATCCTCAACACCTGCCCTATTAGCATCCCAGGAGATTGAATAATAACCAAGCATAAACTCCTAGAAGTGTAATTGGCACAACTTTTCTGGGGTAGTTGAGCAAAATATGTCAAGAGCCCTAAAAAGGAGTTTTAAGGGTGTCTTAGAATTTTCACTTCTGGAAATTTATGCTAAGGAAATAATGGATATGAACAGGATGTTCACTGAAGAATTATTTTTAAAAGTGAAAAGTTGGAAACAATATAAACGTCCAGCAACAACGGATGGCAAAATCAATTAGGCTGGATCAATGTTTATTATTTTTATACCATATTATTCCTATACTAGAAGGACCTCTGGCAGGTAGCATAGTGCCTAAGGCATCTGACTACTAACCAGAAGGTTGGTGGTTCAAATCCACCAGCCACTCCATCTAAGCAAGACTGGGCAATCTAATTCCATAAAGATATACCACCTCAGAAACCCAATGGGAGTTGCTATGAGTTGGAATCGACTCAATGGCAGTGGGTTTTTTTTTTTTTTTTAATTTTAAATTCCTATAGTAGAAGTCCTGGTGGTGCACTGGTTAAGCATTTGGCTGCTTACTAAAAGGTTGGTGGTTCGAACCCACCAGCTGCTCCAAGGGAGAAAGATGAAGCAGTCTGCTTCTGCAAAGATTAATAGCCTGGAAACCCTATGGGGTAGTTGTACTCTTTCTTATAGGGTTGCCATGAGTTGGAATCAACTTGATGGCAGTGGGTTATTTTGATACTATCCCAGTTACCAGGGAGTCAGTTCTGACTCCTGGTGACCCCATATGTGTCAGAGTAGAGCTGTACTCCATTAGGTTTTTAATGGCTGTCTTTTTGGAAGAAGATTGCCAGATCTTTCCTCCAAAGTGCCTGTGGGTAGACTTGAGCCTCCAGCCTACAGAGTAAGCAGCCTAGCGCATTACCTGGGTGCACTACACAGTGATATCCCTACACAGTACTCTGAAAGACCAAACCAAATTGGTTGCCTTCAAGTGGATTCTGACTCATAGCAACCCTAGAGGGCAGAGTAGAACATTTGTCCCCATAGGGCTTCCAAGGCTGTCGATCCTTACAGAAGCAGACTGCCCCATCTTTCTCCCATGGAGTGGCTGGTAGGTTCAAACTGCTGACCTTTCAGTTAAGAGCGAGCCTTTTAACCACTACGCCACCAGGGCTCCTTCCCTATAATATAGAAGAGTTGAGATGGGCTGGAAGTGTAAAAATCCAGTGTGAAATCGATTAATATGAGAAAAGCAATGTCAAATATCTTAGTAATTTTTGTTTTGGTTAAATAAAACATAATTAAAATGAATTTCACTGGTATCTTTTTACTTTTAAAATATGGTGCCTTGCTTTCTTAGGGCTGATGTACCACACTGGGTGGCTTTAAACAACAGACTTTCATTGTCTCACAGTTCTGGAGGCTAAAGGGCCAAATTAGGGTGTTGGTCGTGTTGATTCCTCCTGGTAAGGAAGTATTGTACCCTCTTCTCTAGCTTCTGGTGGCTGCTGGCAATCCTTGGTAAGTAACACCATCTGCCTCCCCGGTCACGTGGTGTCTGTCTTCCCCTAGTTCGTGACTCTGTATCCCTGTCTGATCTTTGATAAAATGCCACTCAGAAGGGATTGAGGTTAGGACCCACCCTACTCCAGCATGACTCCATTAATTTAGCTGACAACATCTGAAAAGAAAAACCCTATTTCCCCAAACAAGGCTACAGTCACTAGAGTAGGGGGTTAGGATTTTGACATGTCTTTTTTTTGGGCACAATTCAATCCACAACATATGGCTACTAGAAAATTTAAAATTTACATCTGAGGCTTGCATTGTATTTCTCTCGGACAGCAGATTTACTGGATATATACAGTGGCGAACAAGATAGTTTTTGACATCAAAATTAACCATCTATTGGGTAGACCATAGTCAATAAGCATTTTGGTTCAGTGATGGAATTCTTGCCTTCCGTATGGGAGACCTGGGTTCAATTCCCAGACAATGCTTGAGGGTGTTTTTATGATGCTACACAGGTTTCAGTGGAGCTTTCAGGTTAAGATGGACTAGGAAGGGTGGTCTGGCAATTCACTTCTGAAAATCAGCCAGTGCAAACCCTGCTTACCACAACTGTCTAATCTACAATGAATTTGGAGGATTGCAAAGGACCGGGCAGTGTTTTGCTCCATTGGGCTTGGAGTCACCATGAATCGAGGGCCAAATGGATTGCCCCTAACAACAACAACAGAGAAGGAAGGTGTCAACTGAGTGATAAGATGATGCTGAAGTCTCAATAAAAAAGGTAGGAGATGGAATAAAACTGAAATATACATGTGAGTACTGATGTCCCAAATGAGATTGAGGTGTGTCCTGGAGGATGCCAAGTTAGGACAGCGGAGATCAAAGATGGGAGTCAGCAAACTTTTTCTGTAAAGAGCTGGAGCTTAGACTTTGCAGGCCACATGATGTCTGTTCAACTACTCATCTCTGCCATGGCTGCGTGAAAGCAGCCATAGGCAGTATATAAGTGAATGAACTTGGCTGTGTTCCAATCCAACTTTATTTACAAAACTAGAGTGTAGGCTAGACTTGGCCCATGGGTGACAGTTTGCTGACCCCTAATTTAGAGGATCAATATGATGAGAAGAATTTCCAAAAATGAGAAACACTGGTAATCATGCATCAATAGTAAGCAGATTCCCCCTCTACTGTTCAGGAAAAGGATGTGGTAGCATCTATGGATAGAATGGTGGGGGAGCAGCAGAGTGGTATCTTCTGGGAAAATCAGGTATTGATTGATGACTAGTGGAATCTCTGGCTTGGGGAAGAATCTACATGAGTAGATGAAGAAAAGAGAAAAGAATAAGACAGCAGAGAGACAGAGCAGAGTGAGGCCCCAGAAAGGCCGAACAAGGCAGGCCTAGAGTGGTGTTTCAGGTAGCCACTGGCTTTCTATGGGGATTTTTGGTGTCAGGTAGGCTATAAATTTGGCAGCTGTCACAGAGACCCAGAAGAAGAGTGGCTCACACTGTTGTGAAGTGCATTTCTCTCTCACACAATAGTCTGGGAGTGAGGAGTCCAGAGTGATACGGCCACTCTCTAGGGCCCGAGACTCCAGTTCCACCTCTACTGTAGCACCGCCATCCCTAGTTTGTTGCCTTGGCCCACATGGTCCAAGATGGCATACCATTACACTTTCCAGCCAGTGGGAAGTGACAAAGAGGAAGCCAAGGACATGCCCTGTCCCTCTTAGGGTCATCCACCCAGGTACTTCCAGAGACTATGGACATTGTGGGACAGGTTCTTCCCTGCCCTTGTTGCTGCAGTGCACGGGGACTCTGTAGCTGATTGAGGAAGTGGCCCTGTTCTTTGTCTCCTAGGCTGAGTTTTCATAAAGACTCATTTAGATTCACTTGTAGAAAAATAATGGTGGTGGGGATCAGTAACTACCTAAAAAATGACAAACCCATGCGAAGGGGAGGGACATTTTCCTCAAGAGGGCTAACCAGAGACTGGATTCTGTGGTGGAGGTTGGATTTTCACTTGTGTTTTTCCGCCATCTGGCGGCAGTCTGTAAATCTTGCCTTCAAAGAACCAAAATAAAGAAATTAATTAAAAACTACACACACACACACACACACACACAAAACAAAGACAACGACAACAACAACAACAAAAAAACCCAAACTCACTGCCATTGAGTCATTCTGACTCATAGCGATTTCCAAGGCTGTCAATCTTTACAGAAGCAGACTTTCTTCCTGAAGCATCTTTCTTCCCTGGAGCAGCTGGTGGGTTCGAATCACCGACCTTTCGGTCAGTGGCCAAATATCTTAATCACTACACCACCAGAGCTCCTTTTTATAGGACCAGTTGCCTTCTCATCAAGGAGCTCTGGTGGTGCCGTGGTTAAGCACTCAGCTGCTAACTGAAACGTTGGTGGTTCGAAACCACTAGCCACACTGCTGGAGAAAGATGAGGCCGTTTGTTTCCATAAAGATTACAGCCTAGGAAACCCTTTTGGGGCGGTTCTACTCTGTCCTATAGGGTGGCTGTGAGTCAGAGTGGATTTGACGGCAATGGACTTTGGTGAGTTGCCTTCGAGTCATTTCCAGCTGCTGGTGAGCCCATGGGTGTCAGAGTGGAGTCGGGCTCTGTCGGGTTTTCAATGGCTGGTTTGTCAGAGGTGGGTCACCAGGCCTTTCTTCTGAGGTACCTTTTGATGTATTCAAAGTGTCAATCTTTTGCTTAGCAGCCAAGCAGATTGTCGTCGTTGTTAGGTGCCATCGAGTTGGCTCTGACTCCTGGCGACCATGTGTACAACAGAATGGAACACTGCCTGGGCCTGCACCATCCTCCCGATTGTTACCATGTTTGAGTCCACTGTTGCAACTAGAGAGCTCTGGTGGTGTAGTCCCTAAGGCATTTGACTGCGAACCAGAAGGCTGGCGGTTCAAACCCACCAGCCACTCCTCAGAAGGAAGGTTGGGCAATCTACTTCCACAGTGATACCACCTTGGTAGCCCAAGGAAGGGTCACTATGAGTCAAATTGACTCGATGGTAGTGATTTTTTTTTTTTTTTTGGTTTCCTTTCTACTCAACCTACTGCCATTTCTCTCCCAGGATGTCCATTATAGTAAGACTGCTGTCACCAAGGCCACCAGAGTCTCTCCCTTATCCCCAGTATATACTACCTACTGTTGTTTGCCACCACCTGTCTGTTTGTCGTACTGTGGTGGCTTGCATGTCGCCGTGATGCTGGCAGGTATGCCAGTGGTGTCATTAGGGTTGGTGTCACCCAACCCCATGGACCTCCTCTGATACCAGACCATACAGACTCCTTAGTGATGTTTATGATTAATTTTAATCACAGAATAATATGTGATAGAGTTGCAAAGTGCTGCTTAAGTGTAATATTTCTTGGATTATATGAATACTAACAACAAAATTGTTTCCTAAAATCTTTCTACATTGAATGACAACATTATTAATTACATTATTAGTAACTGAGTGGAAGCTTTTTATTTTTATTTTTCTCCTTCTTTGATTTAGTTACTACTTCATTCTCAAAAAAGTTATTGATATAGGTTTACAAATACTCATTACCACAATATG